AACAAACACCTCTGGACAGTACAGAATACATAGAAAAACGCTCCGCTCAAATTTATTCGCCATCGGCGCGTGTTTGCTAGATTTACGAAAAATTCGTGCAGGATTGGAGTGGACGTGTTTCTAGGATCAAAAAACGTGTGAACTTGCTCATGCACATGCGCAGTTGCCTGGAGCACATCCGAACACGGCAGTGGAGTGTGAGTACCTTATTTTGGAATACTGTATTATTAGCAGTTTGTAGGTGTTATGTAGGTTTTTTGTATGCACATAACCATAGATATAACATATGTATCATATGAATGATTTGTACATGTTTGGCAGTAGTAGAAATATGTTTCTAGCACTTGTTTTTTTTAGTTAGAGCGGCGTGTTCTCTATAGCGCGTATTACACGCCACGCGCGTACGTAAATACATAAATACGCGCCACCGCTGTGTGAAACTCTGCATTCATGCGCGTGTAATTTTCGTAAGTACGGTTTGGCGTGTAGAAGCGTGCACGGCTTCGTAAATCAACCCCATTGTTTCACAATTACAAGACACGATCTCAGAATTATTAAACTTTCTTTCCTCGGCTCCGCGGTCTTTCATAGAAAATTAACTTTGTTTCTCATGACAAGTCATAGCACAGAGAATGATCAGTAAGGTTACTGAACACAAGACATACACACAGAACATTCAGCACTGTATACACAGGCAATGACATCACTCAGCATGTGACCCAGGGAGGAGCTGTCATTGGCCAGTCACCAGGAAGTGGGGCACTCTAGAAGCACGCAGCCTTGTTGTCTTGTCACAGTGAGTGTCTGCACCTAATTGCTTTCTATTAATAAAATGTCTCTGCACCTCTGTCTTCTGCTCACTGAGCACTCTGTGTCTCCTGAAAACGTTATCTCAGTACAATGTTGCAGTATGAAGGTGATCTGGTTACATTGTGTCCTTGTTGTCACATTGCAGGTCAGAGTCCTGGAGACAGATCTCTGCAGCCATGGCTCTCCGGCTGTGTTCCCTGCACCTGAAGACAAGCAGGCTCCCTGGATCTCTGTGCAGGCTCTTCTCACTCACAGCCCCGGCCAGCCAATCCGCTGCCCAGGCTTCCAGCGTTCTGTATACCCCAGAACACCACGCCATCAGGGAGTCACTGCGAAAGGTACAGCTTCATGTTCTCTATTAATGCTTTGTATAGAAAACATAAAAACCCGGCGCACAGATCTAAGTGCAGTATAATAGTAACCGTTTAATAAAGGTAAAAAGTAATGCACTTACAGGGTATTTAAAGGCATTTCATTGGCGAGATGTTTTAAATACCCTGTAAGTGCATTACTTTTTACCTTTATTAAACGGTTACTATTATACTGCACTTAGATATGTGCGCCGGGTTTTTATGTTTTGTTTTTTTACAGTGCTGTTACGTGGATGTTTCCCTATCCAACTAACCAGGCTGCAGGATCCGTGCATACATCTTCTCTGGATCAACTGCCAGTATAACTAGATATATTATACTATATACTATACCAGGGCTCAAAATTTCAAGTCCTGAGCTACTAGCCAGGCCTTAAGAGTTACTAGCCACCAGTTGCCCCACCTAACCCTTACCCCGCCCCGGCCTTAACTTCGCCCCTAAACACACCCTCTTAAATAATCTTATGATAATTCTTATCTTATGATAGTTGCCGCTTGTAAACGGCAGATTAGGGATTCCTGCTGCAGGAAAACGCAAGTTCCTGACACAGGAATCTCTAATCGTACCTGAAATAATATACACATACACTAAAGGTGTCCATACACCTGCCGATTATCGTACGATAATGGGCAGGTGTATGGGCAGCGTGCGACCGCTTCTACTGTAAGGTCGTACAACTTTCGTCTTTCAAGCACGCTGGAAAACCTGCCGAAAATCGTAAGATTTTTGGCCGGTTGGTGGCGTGGTCGGAAGACGAATGATACTGTCAGGCCGAAGGAAGCCAGAGCTGACAGGAGCTGCTCTGCGGTCTACATCCGATACATCCGCTGTCTGCGACCGTGTGCCTGACATGTCAGCTGGCTGCGGGCCACATAGTACCGGTTCGGGGGCCTGAGTTGGCCTGCGGACCGGTACTTGGAGACCCAAATTTCCACTCACTTTATTTTTACTCGCCAAATGCAAGCAGGCGAGTGGAAATTTTGAGCCCTGTACTATACTATGTATAGTATATATAGTATAGTAATATACTATATATTAGTATACAGTCCATAAACAATCGATCTAGTTGCGCAAATTGGTGACTTCTGTTTTATATATTAATGCTTTAACCATCAATGCTTGTCAGTCCACCCAAAAGTGTCCTATCCACTGGTCCCTTATGAATCAGTACACTGGTGGCTGACACATCAACTGGTTCTTTGTAGAATCAGTGCACTGCTGGCTAACCATTCCACTGGTTCCTTATGGAATTAGTCCACTGGTGGCTGACCCATCCACTGGTTCCTTATGGAATCAGTCCACGGTTGGCTGACCCATCCACTGGCTTCTTATGGAATTAGTCTTTTACATTGTAAGCCCTCAGGGTCAGGGCCCTCATTACCATCTTGTCTTGAATTGTATTGTGATTGTAATGTCCTCCTTATATTGTAAAGTGCTGCACAAACTGTTGGCGCTGTATAAATCCTTTATAATATTAATAATGAGTCCACTCGTAACTGACCCATTCGCTGACTCCTTATAGAATGAGTCCACTGATGGCTTACCCCTTCACTGGCTCCCTATGGAATGAGTCCACTGGTGGCTGACCCTTCCACTGGTTCCTTATGGAATGAGTCCACTGGTGGCTGACCCATCCATGGGTTCCTTATGAAATCAGTCCACTGGTGGCTGTCCCATCCACAGGTTCCTTATAGAATTAGTCCACTGGTGGCTGACCCATCTCATAGATCCTCATGGCCCATGGTACACCGTACGTGGGGCATATTCGTTTACGTGGCAGCAAGATCCTAAGTTGAATTAGATACACTGTATGCATGTAAACATTTGTGCTAATGTTTACCATGGGTACAGCACAAATATAGCTTATTGGTCGCTGACGCTGCTCAAGACTGACATGTAAATATCAACATTGTGTAGTCAGCAATGCCAATGCTTCTATTACACACTATTAATAGGCTCCTGACACCTAGCATGCTTAGAAGCTGGGGCACAGGCACCTCAAATAGAGTACATATGCACTGTATGAACATACACATTGGCACAGTCCTTTACATACATAGAGTGTAAAATATGCTCCATACACATGCCCTTTAAACGCAGATTTTTCCATTTTTAGTTTACACAGCAGGCCAATATGAACCAGTGTGCATGGGCCCGTACATTTTATCTATAAGGTATTTGTATAGCACAGACAATTTATGCAGCGCTTAACATATTGCACATTCACATCAGTCCTTGTCCTCAAGAAGCTTACAATCTAAGGTCCCTATCTCACATATACATACAGGGCCAATTTAGATTGGAGCCAATTAACCTGTGAGGATGCTTTTGGAGTGTGGGAGGAAATCCATGCAAACATGCAAACTCCACACGGATAGTGTCCTGATGGCATTTGAACTGGGAACCCCAGTGCTGCACGGCAGACATGCTTACCTGCTGCATTCAGATCCCTAAAAATGACAAGTTTGGATGCAGATTGTTGTTCAACCATGTGCATGAGCAACATATTTCTCAGGGAGTCCAGCTATTTCATTTAAATATATAGTATTCCTTAATAGCCACATAGGATATATGCAGTATGCACCAAATAGCTTTGCAAACCCAGATGATGGCTTGTAAAAGTAGCTGCAACATCATCACTATGCTGTACATGGCCTATGTAGAGAGCAGAGCTATTGGAGGGGTCACTGGATGCATTGCATGCTGCCTGCAGACAATTACATGAGGGGGCGGAGACAAGACCAGTCACCCTGCACGAGGAGAGAGAGCAGCAGTGAGCGGTCTTTATTACAGAAGGGGGCGGAGACAAGACCAGTCACCCTGCACAAGGAGAGAGGGAGAGCAGCAGTGAGTGGTCTTTATTACAGGAGGGAGCGGAGACCTGACCAGTCACTCTGCACAAGGAGAGAGGGAGAGCAGCAGTGAGTGGTCTTTATTACAGGAGGGAGCGGAGACCTGACCAGTCACTCTGCACAAGGAGAGAGGGAGAGCAGCAGTGACCGGTCTTTATTACAGGAGGGGGTGGAGACAAGACCAGTCACTCTGCATAAGAAAAGAGAGCAGCAGTGACCGGTCTTTATTACAGGAAGCTCCGAGTGTCACACTGGATTGATGCACAGATCAGGAAGAAATACAGAAAGCTCACCAAGATACAAGGAAGAATACACATGACTCTTGTATCAGGACAAAATTGACTTGTCTCAGACAGAGTTCAGTCTCTGAAATGTAGAAACATTCTTTTTATTGTTACCACTTTCACTGGCACATCCTGAGACCCCCCCCCCCATCGCCCTTCCACAGAGGAAATCCCCATCACTGGCTGTATAACTCTCCCTCTTTCCTGCACACCGCCATAGGCCCAGGATGTGTGTACAGCAATTCATAAGAAGCTGGGAGGGGATGGTGAGATAAGGCACTGGGTTCATTTCTTTATTTCTACATATTATTTCAACAAAACAGTCAACAAACTTCACATAACAAAAGAGGACGCAAAAGTAGAAACGAGCGATTGAATCCAAGGTCGATTCTCCATTCTCACAAGTGCACGCTCATTGTTCAGTGAGTTTGCGGTGATTGTCCTATGAGACCGTGTACTGCTTATTTTGGCCATCACCGTCCCCTTCTACAATACATAGAACAATGGATAAAAACTTCCCACCTGGCTCACCTCTAGAGACACCAAGCCGGATCATTTCATGTCAGAGCATAGAATTCCGCAATAATAGTTTGTGTTCTATGGGAGCGAAAACTTTTATCGCATTTGCAATGTGCCGGTATCGCCGTGATCATATTTATCACTGTGGGATTTACAATGCCTGAGGATTAAGGTTCATGTTTGGGCCGGGGTCAGCAGTTCATTTTGTTGAGGGGCCACATGAGAAACTGGGACGGCTGTGGGGGCCTAACGTTTAAAGCACGGTACCACGCAACCCACCGACTGTGCGTTACAGTCCAGCAGGCACGTTGCATTGCCATTCTTTTTAATGGCACCCCAGATGCACCTTCTGCGCAGCAACATGCGGTACCACAAAACTGTGCCTTGCGGTTGAAAAAAGTAGTGCATGCAACACACTTACATGTAACGACCGGTGGGTGCATTGCATGGTACTGTACGTTAGTTACTGCTGGTCTAGTCACTGCTGGTCGGGAACTTTAAACAGTATATGAAAGGCTGGCTGAATCAGCTGGCCGTGACTTTAAACTACACACGAGCATCTGGCTTCATGGAAAATGAGCCGACTGCTGGACTGATGTAATAAAGCAACCCAGGGTGGCATCCACAGTTTCTAATACACATGACAACCCCTTCCACCCCCGCACATACCGATTTTATTGCCCAGCGGTCCCAGCAACCAATGACTGCAGAGCAGGATCCCTGAAGTTCCTGGGTGGTTCTAGCAACCAGTGACAGTAGAGCAGGATCCCTGGGGTCCTTAGATGGTCCTAGCAACCAGTGACTGCAGAGCAGGACCCCTGACATCCCTAGGTGGTCCAAGCAACCAGTAACAGCAGAGCAGGACCCCTGACGTCCATAGATGGTCCTAGCAACCAGTGACAACAGAGCAGGACCCCTGACATCCCTAGGTGGTCCAAGCAACCAGTAACAGCAGAGCAGGACCCCTGACGTCCCTAGATGGTCCAAGCAACCAGTGACTGCAGAGCAGGACCCCTGACGTCCCTAGATGGTCCAAGCAACCAGTGACTGCAGAGCAGGACCCCTCACGTCCCTAGATGGTCCAAGCAACCAGTGACTGCAGAGCAGGACTTCTCAATGGCATACAAGTGCAGCGATGTTCCTACACTTGCAGTACATTCATTCTTCCCCCCGTCCATGTTACTGAATGTCCGTACCTCGGTACAGACGTGGACGGGAGAAGATGTCTGCAGGATCCATGCACTCACCATCCACTGATCACAGTTGCAATGATTTACTGGCTCCAATGCAAAAAATTATGAATTCACGTTTATTTTTATTTTATTTTTAAAAGGTGGACTTTGTCTTTAATAACCATGTCAGGACACTATCTGCAAGGGGTTTGCATGTTCTCCCTGTGCTTGCATGGGCTTCCTCCCACACTCCAAACACATGCTGGAAGATTAACTGGCTCCTGTCTAAATGGCCCCGTATGCATGTGCAATAGGGACCTTAGCTTGTAAGCTCCTTGAGGGCGAGGACTGATGCGAATGTGCAGTATAAAAAGCTCTGCGCAAATTGTCAGCACTATATAAATACCTGTAATACTAATAAATAAATAATGTCAAGTAGGCAGAGCTCAGAACTCTGGGGCAGAGATTCATTCAATGGAGTCATTGAGAGATGCAATTGTGGTCTGTGATTCATCATGTCGGCATCAACCCAAATAGAAATACGGTAATTGTTGCTATAAGACATCGCACAGAACAAAATTGGTTTCCACATAATCTTGGTTAACTGTCAAGGAAATACATAGATGACAATGTGTAGATGTCAGGTTCTGGGGATGCATGACTTGCTGATAAGCTCCTGAAAGCAAAGTGATCCTGGAAACATTTGAAGTGTATTTCCACGTTGCAGTCAAATTTGAGAAAATCCCACTATATATTTGTTTCCATTCACACAGCATACCTAGAATATGTCTTACCTTTCTGATATTGCCATGTACCAGGCTTCTTGTGTTAACATTAACCTACGCAGCCCCTCTTGCATTCCAGAACATAATTAAAGTAATATTAAACTCTCAAACTTTTTTCAATAATTTAATTCAGATCAAATAAATATACATGGACCAGCAACATATTTATTTACTTTTTTGCCCAAGCACTTACTGTATATCCCTGTACATGTATATACTGTATATATACTGATTCTTGTACAGGGAATGCAGCAGGGCAGGATGCTGCGCTTAGACATAAAAAGAACTGTTTCATATTTGCAGCTCCCGCTCTGTTAGTCATTATGAAGTTCTTGGTGAGATGGGCAGTTTAATGGCTAAGCAAACAGTGGAGAGCACTGAAGAGATTTCTCTGCTGCAGGTAATAGGATGTGACTCACCGTCCTTGCTGCTATAGGAGCCCTGCCTGTGATCCTGCAGGAATTTCCTGTCTCATAGGACCTGCCAGAGAATAGATAACAATAGAGCCAGGAATGCAGAGTGAAAAGGACAGAAGTTCTGAAGCTTTAATTGCTCCCTGGAGAAGACTTATATTATCTGAAAGGACAGATATGCAGATTTGTATCTTTTCCCTCTTATTTTTTTTAGCATGTTAGATTTTTATTGAGAAACCAAGAAATAAGACAATACATACGGTACATGGTCAATAATTGACACGAATCACAGATCGTGTATCAGTACGCAGACTGCGATCTAGACATGCATATTAAGAAATATCCAAGTATTAATATATGAGGAACCAGATCACATCATTGTGAAAAACATCTCTAGCAACATTTTGCTTTAATTACAACTGAAAAAAATAAAATCAATGAACTAGACTACACACTGTCAATCTCATAGCCATGAGGATCGGTATTGTGGGGAGAAGACCAATTCTCTATAGTAGGGGTGATCGTGGGCATTTCAGGAGGACTAAGCTTTATTCAATATCTTTTTTCCCTCTTAAAATGGACACACACATATAACCATTCAATCAATAATTCAATGAGACTTAAATGATTGATTTAAATTAAAATCTTAAAGCAAAGATCCTCCATTTGACATATTTTGCCTAGCCCTAGACGATCGGCTGTGGCAAAATTTTGTTAATCACTAATGATTGATGGGACTAATATCTGCGTGTTTCAGGAGACATGATCGTAATTTCTTTTTTATAGCTCATGCAATGCAAAATGCAAATGTGTGTGTTGCATCATCGATATTTTAATGTGATAGATTGCTTGCTCGTAATTGCTTATATCTGAATCTATTACAAATTCGCTATGTGTTAAGGTGCCCATACACCTGCGGATTATCGCACAATAATCGGCAGCTGTATGGGCAGCGCGCGACCGCTTCTACTGTAAGGTCACGCGACTTTCGTCTTCCCAGCACGCTGGAAAACCTGCCGAAAATCGTACGATTTTCGGCGGGTTGGTGACGTGCTCGGAAAACGGATGCTGCACGGGCGTGTGTGCGCAAGCGCACACTGTCCGCTCAGCACTGCAATCATCGGAAGCCCTCCCCTCAGCGGGGGCGGGCTTGCGATGATCGCAAGTACGATCTGCCTGTCCAAGATGGGCAGATCGTACGAAATTTTAATCACCTTACAACCATCGCACAAACGAAAGTCGCGCGATGGTTGTAAGATGTATGGGCACAAAAACTTTTATTTAAATATTTCCCTCTATAGCCAAAAATGGATATAAATCCATTTTGCGTGCACCAAATGCCTTTACAAACCCATTTGTAAAAGTAGCAGTGACATCATCACTGTGCTGTACATGCAGCCTATGCAGAAAGCTGTGAGAGGGGCCCAACAGGCCCCACCCACTAAAGGAGGGGGCGGAGACAAGACCAGTCACCCTGCACATGGAGAGAGAACATCAGTGAGCCGTCTTTATTACAGGAGGGGGCGGAGACAAGACCAGTCACCCTGCACAAGGAGAAAGCAGCAGTGGGCGGTCTTTATTACAGAAGGGGGCAGAGACAAGACCATTCACTCTGCACAAGGAGAGAGAGCAGCAGTGGGCGGTCTTTATTATTTATCCTGGAGTTCAGCTTTAAGCTTTTTACTTACTATTTTTTTTTAATTGTCTTCCCTGCAGATAATAGACACTGAAATCAACCCATATGTAGACCAGTGGGAGAAAGAAGAACAGTTTCCCGCTCATCAAGTGTTCAAAATCCTTGGACGTGCTGGGATGTTGGGAGTCAGCAAACCAACTGGTAGGTGCAACCTGCCCTAAATCTTCTGCACTTTTAGACAACCTGTATTTTGCCCATACTAGGCTATACTAAGAGTGACAGGTTCACTTTACTATGAGCCAGTACTTACCTCTCCTGTCCTTTCCTGACACCTCAATCTGCTGCCAGACCAACAGAGAAATAGCCACTACATTCGTGTTTGAGTGAACAGGTGTTGGCAGTTCCAGGCTTCTTGACCATCATATGTGTAGTGTATGGAAACTATGGCTTCTGTGGAGTAGGACTTGGGGACCAACACCAATATATGATAAAAAAAGGTTATGTTGAGGTGGCTTATGGCAGAGCGTATTTAGAACAGTATTTACATGTCCTGTTCCATCACAAATCCTAAAAAAGGGGATTATTCCCTGATAGAGGATAGCGGAAGAGCCCATGCAATTTATTCCTTTTTGAGCCGTAGGCCAACTATACCCAGTAATTTCATATAAAATTGGAATAATGATGATTTTTATCTTGTATCTAAGTCGTAAAAAGTGATATATACGAGCTTACCAGTGCTTAGATGTGGCAGCTGCATTAGTGTCTTTCTTTCATGTTACCACATGTTTTCAGCAAGTACAGAAAATAGCTGTAGAACCTGCTGGAAATGCCGTGTCAGTGAGCTGAAAAGAAAGCACAAACAATGATATCTCTGGTTCCAATCAATCCACCATATAATAGAGATGAACAAAGGCAGACATAATTGAAGTCCAGCTTGTGTGACAACTGCACAGTGGAGATGTGAGTGGAGACATGAAGGGACAGGAAGTGGGTTACCAGCAGGATCACCAGGTGAAAATAAACTGCAATTTATTGCATTTTTGTTTTGGGGTTTAGATTTGATTTGAGTCCAACTTCGTTCTCAGATCCCAATCAGAACTTTCACACCTATGCAGAGGATGGCACTAAAGTTACATAGTAGATAAGGCCCCATTCACACCAGGGCGGTTTCGGATTAGCGAGGTTTCCGCACAGATTTTAAAATGCCGGTTTTGGGTGTTTTTAATTGCGTTTCAGCGCAGAAACACAATAAAAAATGCCCAGAACCGCGGTTCCATTGAAAGCAGTATGGAAACCGCACTCATCAGCGCAGCAAAAAAGGGTCAGGGAGCAATTCGGGCGGGAGGTGGTTGGATTGAGAGGAGCCAAACCGCCCTGGTGTGAACGGGGCTTAAGGTTGAAAAAGGACACAGGTCCCTCCATTCTAACCTATGTGTATCCCAGTTTGGATCTTCCAAGGACTTCCATGCCCTTGTATATTGTGCCCATTTTGGAAATAATCTATATATATATACTCTAATACCATTACCTAGGAAAGGGGGGTCTACATTTCCACTGATCTAACCGTAAAGAACCCCCTGCTCAATTTCAGATTAAACCTCCTTTCCTTCAACCTTAAATTGTGGCCATGTGTACTTTTTAGGGACCTTAGAGTAAGCACTTTGTTACCATCAGTACAGTCACTATTGATTAATTTGTAAATAGTAGGGATGTCCAGAAACCAGTTCCGATACCAGCGCCGATATTTGGCATTAGAGAACTACCAGGGTTGCAGCGACCTGGGACCTGGCTCTGGCGCTCCACCACTGTCCTGAAATCATTACTCTGTATTGTTTTAGAAAAACTTTTCATAGATACCAACTGTCCTGGATATTCTGGGACAATCCCACATCTGGGCCCACTCTACTGCCAATGCCATGTCCCAGAATCGCAGCATGAATGTTATTTGATTTACTGCACATGTGCGATAACTCAATAAGCCATTGACTGCCGAGATCGGGGCTGGGAGTGGGTGGTCAACATATCTTAAGAGGAGGGGTCTGGGCATGATGTGACCACGCACACCCCAAAAGTGGGGGAGGGATTGTGGGCTGTGGGTAGTGTTAACAGGGTACCAGGATCCGGGACCATAATGTTGGTAAGTATAAAATTGGTTAGAATATTCTGATGTAATGAAAGATCATTTGCTACTCCTTAGGGATAGTACACGAGAGCAGACAGAGGTTGGGAGGCTGAGTCTGAAGATGTGGAGAAAGGAAGAGTGTGTGTCCACTGCACTTCTTTTAACCCTTTCTAGTGATGGCCGGCCTCTCAATTGGCTGCTATCAGCCAGACACACTTGTCTTTCTTTCACTTCCTATGACCCCCCCAACAGACTCCTCTTTCTCGTCAATTTCTGGAAAATCCGCATTTCTTTATAACAGCTGCTGCTCATACAGAAATGGTGTGATGAGCCTTCTTTAAATGATGTAACCTCATTGCCAAGCCCATTAGCCTTCTAAATCCAGTTAGTTCCCAAAGCACAGCTGCTGTCAGCTGGGAAAATGCTGACATGGCTGGGAGTGCATAGGATTACAGGGAGAAGAGGATTACACCGGACCGGGTTATGAGCTGAACACTAACCCTGCTGGCTGCCAATCGCAGGGAAGAAGATCGAAGAATAAATACAATTACCCCAGCGCAACATTTATGTAATTTGTGCACCCCCCAGATATTGACCCCCAAGATGGAACCGGCGCAGGCCGCTGATTAAAATGATATCATAATTGTGATTTGTATGTAATGTAACGGAGTGATGAAGCTCAAAGTGAACGTTTGCATTTTACTGCAGGAGAGCTTAGTGCTGCAAGCACTGCATAGTGCTTGCAGCATTTTTTCTGACCGGATTAGAACGCAGGCACTGATGTGCAACGCATTCCCGTGCAGCCGATCGCACTGCGGCCGGAAGGTGTGGCTGTGATGCCATGAAGTTCAATGCACCGCCACGCCCCCTCCCACCCCAACAAAAAGTGAGCCGGACGCAATGCAATCCAGTGCATTCCAGCCCCAATCTCACTTTGGCTGGTGTGAGCTAGCCTTAAGAGTATCTTTTCTTTCTTAGCTTATATCAGCTCCTGCATGCATTGTAAATTGTATTCAATTTACAATGCCGGCGGCACCTGACAGAATACAATGTGAACAGCGGGATTCCTCGATCGACAAGCTGTTTGTGTTGATGGAGGAATCGCGTCAATTTTTTTCATTCAGCCTGCGTGTTGAATGAAAAAAATTGATAGGTGTATGGACAGCTTTACTGAAAGTTTGTACAGAGCCTTATAGAGCAGAATTAAAGGAGGAAGGGAGCCCTTTGACCCATTCAACTGTGTATGTGTATTTCAGCTTGAGCAGTGGAATTCTTTAGACTTTTTTCATTCAGCAAGGCAGTTAGGATTAGTCTGGTATACATACAAAAATGGGTCAGGTGCGCCACCTGGTGGCAGTAAATATAAAATATTTATCACAAGGATTTTTTCATTCTTTTTTATAGTCCTGAAAATAAGTTAAAAAACACATAGGTTAGAAAAGGTATGAAAATCTTGTATGATCGCTGTTGATTTCCTCGAGATAAGCTGACACTGGCAGTATTTGGATGTATTTGCATGCATCTTTTTCCACCACTTCCTAGGTGGAAGCACAATCGTTCATGTGAATCTGGCAGCCGGCAGACAATGATGCGTGAGGGCGATCAGATCATACCTGCATGGCTGACTTCTCTCTGCTGTCTACAGACACCTTAGATGCAATGCCTTCTTAACAGTCATTAATTTGAAGTCTGTTCAGAATTCCACATGCGGAAAGCCTCTCAGGAATCCATATGATGTGCAAATGAAATACAATAAGGAAATTGCTGTTGCACTGTGAAGAAAAAGGGAAGAAAAAAAAAGGACAATAAGTTGCAATTTAAAAACAAAATCTCCATAAACGTCTTACAGCCAATGTCCCTTCTCGGAATAGCAGCCGTAACAAATGGATCTTTCTGTTGTGCGTCGCTCGCGGACAACGCCGCAGAGTTCATTCTGAGAATGAGGGCTCCCTGCAGCTTTCTTTAATATAGCTGCTGCCTGCATGACCGATGTGGCTTGAAAATGTTTCCCCCTTGATTCAGCCCTTGGTACAAACATCTGCAGTTGTGAGAAGCTTATAAAAGGTCCACATAAATCTCCGTGACTGCTGCTGCCTTCTTCACTGTAGGGAGAATCTTAAAGTGGAACCGTGGGCCAAATCAAAAATAAAATATACAACGCAGTCTGTTATTAGCGTGAACATAGCAGTTTCTGCTCCGTATCAAAGTTTTATTACCTGTTGGTCCTGCCAGTAGATCTGTTGATTTGACCACTTCTGTAATAAGGTGACAACACTGTTCATTCTGCAGTGAAATCATAGCAGCATTGTCACGTTGTGGATAGGGAAGCCTTAGATCAGCCTTTCTCAACCTTTTTCACCATGGAGGAAGGAGGGGAGAAATGGGTACGCTTAGGGGAGTTTTGGGCGGAAAACCTGAATTTGCCCTTTAAAGCCTATGAAGCCCAGAAATACTTAATCCAAACTTCTTAACATGGAGGAACCCTTGAAATAATGTTTAGGTCTCAGATAACCTCTGCTAAAAAGAATTTATATATATATATATA